GAGAGTTGATCAAATTTAACCAACAGGAAAAGCATCAACAAGTCCAAAGCAAAGCTCAACCCCCCCCCCAACACCAAACCCAGCCCTAATGCAGATCAAGGGTTATCTTTATTTTTGAAGGTGCTCTTGATGTATCCAACGCTTTCCCCACTGTGTGGATTTTTTAATGACCCCCCCTCCCTGTTCTAGCTCTGCCTAAACATCTTTGCTTTCATGCAAATTCCTCTATTCAATATTTAATATTTTGAATATCCTCCTCAAAATATCCATAAGAAAGAGGCAGAGTTGCTTGATAATGTTTTTGCTTTTTTAAAAACAGCTTGCTGTGTGTGTGTGTGTGTGATGTGTTGTGCATTTATTACCAGGGAAGAGGTTTTCCCCCCTCCTTTCCTGAGGTTATAAGGTCAAGCTTTGCTGGATTAATTTTGCACAGTCCCTTTGTTGCAAACAACAAACAAGGTCATTTATTTTCATTTCCTTGTTCCTAATTGCACAGATCCCCTTTGGAGTATGAATTCACGAAACAGGTGGCGAAATGCTGAGAAGGTGGGGGCGAAGGGAAGATTTGAAACAGTTCCAGAAAACAGGGGTAGGTAGGCCCCATTCCAGTTACAGGTTTAAGTCTAAGCACAAAATACATCTGCTTTAAAAACGCAACACAACATCCTGGGTTGTGTGGTTCACGCAGGTTGCTGAAGAAGGTCATAAAAATCTTTTCGTTGGTGGATGTCATTGCTGGAAGGATCTTGCTAAGATTAGCCCATCCTCTGCAGAAATACATGTAGAAAGCCCACCAGTCTTATTTTATTTTCTAGTACGATTTTATAGCTGTCTTCTAAATGTACATGTTAGACAAACCGCTCACCGAAGGAATAAACAATGTGATTCTCAGATGAAATTGGGACAAGGGAGCAGATGTGAAGCTAATGTCAAATGTGGTCTCCCATCTCTTATAAAGGGTGACGTGAGCAGGGGTGGGCTTCAAATATTTTAGCAAGGGGTTCTCTGCCTGGTTGCTGGGTGGGGCATGGCCATGGTGGGTGTGGCCTAGTTGGCTTCCTGCACCACAGGGGGGAAGGGTGGGGTGGCATTTTTGCCCTCCCCAGGCTCCAGAGACTTTTCTTGAGCCTCCGGGAGGGTAAAAATGGCCTTCCCAGGCTCCAGAGGCTCTCTGGAGGCTGGAAACAGTCAATGGACTTCACATTACATCATGCAAAACTGCTTCTCCATTTGAGATCTCTCTTGGTCCCTCAAATGAATGGATCACAGGGCAAGTCAAAAGTTCTCAACTGAGGAACAAATGACCCAGCTCCATTTACCATGTTTTGGACACATGGCACAAAAACCCAGGTTCCTTGAAAGGTCAATAATATTGGGAAAGATAGAAGAGAAGATGACCTACCAGCAGCAGCTGGGTGGATGGACTCATTTACAGTGGTGATGGGTACACCATTGAAAGACCTAAAGGGCGAGGCTTTGGGGTAGATTATGCTGGAGAACCTCTATCGATGTGGTTGCTGAGAGAATGATACGGACTTGATGGTACATGATTAACCACCTCAGCCCATTTACAGCTGAACTCAAAAAGGGGGTCTTTGCGCTTGGTTGTTTTCTTGAAGACGTTTCGTTACCCAGACTAAGTAACCTCATCAGTCCTAGTGCATTGATACTTATAGGCTTTCTAGTTCACAGCTGGTTTTCTAGGGGAAAGAGCAGAGAAGGAGGAACTGCCAACTCCCTATCTTTAGAAGTCCAAAGGTTCAAACCACCATACGTCTCTTTTTCCTATCTGGGCATACCAGTGAACTGTGAACTAGTTCTTTGCCAGTGGGAAGGGCAGTTGGTATTTGTCCTGAAGGATCAAAATCTTAAAGGGTTGAATCTGCTCTTCTCATCCACCCCTGGCCTTTTTTAATATATGCATATAACAACACACAGTCTGTGTAGCGTTATTGTAGCGATCCTGCCTGTTCTGACAAAGATACAATTTTCTTCTATACTATTATTAGGATCTCAACCAACCAACCAACCAGGTTGTAATTAAAAAAATCTTCCATTTTTAATGTTCAGATCCAAACTATTGGAAAAATTGATGCATACAATACTTGAGGCTGCATAAAAAATTACTTGTAAGAATAGAATCAGAAATACTGTCCTACCTCATACTTGCTATTTCAATGCCAATCTCTTTGTCTATGGAGATTCTCAGTCATCCAGGTCATGGTTGTCCCAAAGGTGCTTTTTCAAGAGGCAACTGGACTTTCTGGTTTTTCTTTGAAGACATTTCACTTCTCATCCATCAGAACTGAAGAAGCTTCTTGGATGAGAAGCGAAAGGTCTTCAAAGAAAAACCAGAAATTCCAGTTGCCTCTTGAAAAAGCACCTTTGGGACTGCCAATCTCTTTCTTATACCCAACTATTAAGTGTTTGTTTTTCCACCTAATGACAATTCATAGATGTGAACAGGAATCTCCATGGGAGGGTTCCCAAAAAATCAAGATGGCAGCACAATCTAAGCCCCGGCCCTCTCTACATACATGTGATATGACTATGGTGCTGTATCTACCATTTCCTCTGGAGACAATGCTTGCTGTTTTTGTTTTTGTTTCACTAAAGGCAAAGAGAGAAAGTTCAAAAGTTAAGCTTAAACGACAGAATCTGGTGTTTTACATGAAAACAGAACTCTACCATCTATGCATGTAGTTCCTAATCCCTCGTATGCTTCTGCAATTCCCCTACAGTTAACACTCCTCTGTCTTATGTCCCATATCTAATTTAGGCCTCAAGTGTTTTTCTTAACTATCTTTGAAGGAAAAGATTTTAAAGTGGTCTAGTGTGGATGTTTCAAATCCTATTTGGATGCTAGAAAGAAAGAAGAATTGTAGTGTCACCACTAAACTGAGGCAGCCAGACATTAGTATGAATCAATAATCCATTACAAGCGGTGGAATAATGGCCATTTATTTCTTTCTTTCAAGAAAATGAAGTGTTTGAAAGCACATCCTGGAACATTTTGCAAATGATGCTAGTGATAGAACTATAGTGGTGGAAGTTTGCTTAAATCCCAGGTCAGAGGCAGATTTTGCATATGAATAAGTATGAAAAAATAGATTAAAGTAGTTATGAAGGAAAATAATATAATACCAGCTGAAAACTCCCAAGTTCTAGTCCTGCCTTCTTAGGGGCAGAAGCATGCTGGGTGTGTCTCAGCCTTTGGAAGGAGGCCATGGCAAACTACTTCTGAAAACGTTGGCAAAATTATAACAACTTGTTCAAGCGAGAACTGTTTTAAAGTCACAAAACAAACAAACAATAGGTTTTTCTATTGTAGGAACCCGGAGGTCAAGAGCATCATGATGTCATAATTCTTTTAAGGCACTTTTCAGGTGCTTTCTGTTATCCGTGACAATGATGTCATCCTACCTGTGTTGTGGTGGCTTAAAATCCCTGTGCCAACCCAGGGCATTTTGTTACTTTGTGTGTCACTGCATGAAGTAAACCTCAGAAGTGTGTTAATTTAGATATTAAACTACACTGGTGATGCCTGTCTGGATATGCCAGCCAGTTCTCTTCAAAATACTGTTTTGGTGGACAGCAAAGCTGCCTGGGGAATTCTGGGAGTTGAAGTCCACCAAGGCTTAAAGTTGCCAAGGTTGGAGACCCTTGGACTAGAAAGACCTCCAAGGCCCCTTCCGACTGTTTTATTCTATTGATTATTCTATTTTATTCTATTCTCCCCCACCACAAAACCGCGTCCACACGTCCAATTAGTCGCGCGTCGTCCAATTCTCCCCCTCCCACCTTCTTTCTTCCCGCCCAGCCTCGCCCAACCGGTCAACGGCCGGACCATCGCCCGAAAGTTTGCCCCTTCCCACGTAGCTCCCCGAAAAACTCGGGATAACCGAGCAGAGCCGTCCGGGTTTAGGACGTCGAGCGAGCGCGCCATCTTTCTGAGGCGAAATGGTCGCGGAGGGAAGGCGAAGCGGGGCCACCCACTCACCCACCACCTCAATATTCCGGGGCTGCTCCCCACTTTCCCGCCTCAAATGTGGCCGCGTTCTCTCGGCCTTGCGGGGAGACCCTTCCCTTCCCCGGGGAAGAGGGGAGGCTATCAGGGACCCCCCAAAGAACGCGAATCCCCCTCCCGCCTGCCCGGGGCTCTTGGGCCCCTTTGAGGGAAGAAAGCTTCGCTTCTCCTCAGAGAGTCCCAAGCCGGGGAGAGTGGGGGGGGGGAAAGGGGGGGGGCGGCGCGCGCACCCCGCTCTTCCCCCCCCTCAGCGCCCCCCCCCCCCAAGCGGCCCCCCCCCCGGGGCTGTTTTGGGGGGGGGGGGGGGGGGAGGAGGAGTGGATGGAAGAGCCGCTGTTCCTCGGCTCCGGGCGCGTGGCTCCTTTGTGTGGCGCACCTGGAAGGCGACCCGGCTCCTTGTCTGCCATTGGGGAAAAAAGAGAGAGAGGGGTGGCTGGGTGGGTGGAGCCGAGGGGAAGGGACGGGCGAGCGGAGGGGGTGAGGACGCGCGCCCCCCTCCCCTCCTTCGAGCCGCGGCGACAGCGGCTCCTCCTCCGTCTCGGTGGCTTTCCCCCCCTTTCCTCCCTCCCCCTAGAGCGTCCCTCACCTGTCCCTTCCGGCTCACCTGCCGCTCTCCCCCTCCCCCTCTCTATCATCCCGCCTCCTCCCTCAATCCCCCTCCCTCCCCGCAGAACCCGGCAACTTGCTCCGCGCTGCCTGCTCGGAGAGTGCAGGTCTCTCTCTCTCTCTGTGTGTGTGTGCTGCGCCCGCGCGCGCCTCTTTTTTTGTGGGTGTGCTGGGGCAGGAGGAGAGGGGGGGGGGCAGCCCTTTGGAAGGTGGATCTAGTCCAAGCTTCTCCAGAACTTCGCCTCTTTGGATCAAGCAGATCTCCGACTCTTCCTCTCTTTAAGACCCCCCCCCAAACAACCCCCCCCCCCCCCCCCTCCTCCTCCTCCCCCCCCCCCCCCCTCCTCACCCTCTCCCCCCTCCCGCCCTGCTGCCCCCCAAGATATCAACCCTGCGAAATGGATGTAAGGTTTTATCCCGCTGCCTCGGGGAGCTCCCTTCCCGGAGACCCTTCCAGTCTGGACTTTACCCAGTGTTTGGGTTACTACAGCTACAACAAGGTGAGTATTTCTTTCATTATTCTCCCTCTCCCTCTCTTTCTCTCTCCCTCCCCCCTCTCTTTCCCTCCTTCCCTCTTCCTCTCTTGTCTCCCTCTTTCTCTCCCTCCCTCTCTCATTCCTCTCTCTTTCCCTTTTTCTCTTCCTCCTTCTCTCACTCCTCTCTTTCCCTCCTTTCCTCTTCTCTCTCTCTCTTCTCTCCCTCCCTTTTTCTCTCCCTCCCTCTCTCATTCCTCTCTTTTTCCTCCTTTCCTTTCCTCCTCTCTCTCTCTCTTCTCTCTCCCCTCCCTCTCTTACTCCTCTCTCTTTCCCTCCTTTCCACTGCTCTCTCTCTTTCTCTCTCCCTCCCCCCTCTCTCTTTCCCTCCTCCCTCTTCTCTCTCTTGTCTCCCTCTTTCTCTCCTCTCCCTCTCTCATTCCTCTCTCTTTCCCTTTTTCTCTTCCTCCTTCTCTCACTCCTCTCTCTTTCCCTCCTTTCCTCTTCTCCCCCCCTCTCTCCCTCCTTTCCTCTTCTCTCTCTCTCTCTTCTCTCCCTCCCTTTTTCTCTCCCTCCCTCTCTCATCCTCTCTTTTTCCCTCCTTTCCTCCTCTCTCTCTCTCTTTCTCTCCCCTCCCTCTCTTACTCCTCTCTCTTTCCCTCCTTTCCACTGCTCTCTCTCTTTCTCCCTCCCTCCCTCTCTTCTCTCTCTTTCCCTCCTTTCCTCCTCTCTCTCTTCTTTCCATCTCCCTCTCTTTTCCTTTCTCTCTCTCTTTCCCTCCTTTCCTCTTCTCTCTCTCTCTCTCTCCCTCTCCTCCCTCTCTCACTCCTCTCTCTTTTCCTCCTTCCCTCTCCTCTCTCTCTCCTCTCTCTCTTCTCTCCCTTTTTCACTCCCTCCCTCTTCTCCTTCTCCCTCTCTTCTCTCCCTCCCTCCCTTCCTGTCGTCCCCCCTCCCTCTCCCTTCCTCCCCCCTCTCCCTTCTCTCTCTATTTCTCTCTATTTCTATTTCTTTCTATCCCCCACCCCTCTATTTCTATTTCTTTCTATCCCCCACCCCTTAATCTTTTGTTCCAGGGGGTGCGTAACTGTGTTACAGTTTTTGGACTTGCATTGGACGCTGTTGTGGTTATTGTCGTAGTTTGGTTTGGCTTCTAGAGGGATGGTGGTGGCTCTGGTTGGGTTGTACTTCGAGGGAAGGCAGGAGAAAGGGAGGGGGGGAAGAGATGGTCTTGATCTTACAACTTGTGCTGATGTGCTGGTTTTAAAACTAGGTTTTTTTTCCCCTCTTAAAATCAGAACTTTCTCAAGTTTCTTTCTTCCTCGCCAGAACTTTCCCCCTTCCATCCTTTCTCACTTATTTGCAAATCATCCTTGGTTGTTGTTGTTGTTTGTTCTTTTCTATTTCCCCTTTTCCCTTTGCAAATACAATCCCTTGTAACTTCCTCCCAGCTCGGTGTAAATAAGGCAGAGTTTTCTCCTTTGGCGCTTCCAAAGTGGGCTCCTTGCAGGATAGGGTGGTTTTCTTGGGTCATAGGGGATCTGCTGGTAAAGAAAATATCCCTGTGCATGGGGTTTCCAAGTCAAAAAAAAAGTGCATTTTTAAAGATGTGTTTTTCTGTCTTGGGGGAACAATAAACAGTTTTGCTGGTTCTGCTTTGGATGCAGGAGTTTGGAGGGTATGTTTCCTTATTTGGTGGGTCGGCTTATTTGTACGGAGATCAGACTTAGGTTTAAGGCTGGGTATTTAGATTGCATTACAGTTGTATGGATTACTAGTGATTGTGTGTTGTCTGCCGCCTGCCATTTCTCTGTCCCTGTTCTCACAATAGTCCCACTCCTTTTCCACATTCCTCCACATTTCTTCCTGGTTCGAGGATGTTAAAGCAAGGATTTTGATTCTACTAACCGAGTATAGTTTTTTGGGGGAAACTTGATGGAGGGTCTCGTGAGCCTTGCATCTAAAATAAAGGAGCAAGCCTGAGGAACTCAGGACCACCCCAACTGAGAAAGGAGGTGACTACCAGATCCTTCAGCAGCTCCTGTCTTCATCAAGAAAAAAAGGAACCCTTTTTAAATGTGTCTCGTTGAGCCAGCTGGAAAAGTTGTAGCCCCTGCTTAGTTCTGTGTCTTATTGATATCTCCTTTTCTTGTCAAGAGATTACAGATGACAGAATACATGTAATAGCCAGAAGGGACGGATATTCCCTGCGGCTAAATGCATTACACAAAATATGTTTCAAACGTATCTGGTTTGTTTTCACCAGCTGCCAGACAAGGAAAGGGAAAAATTTCAAAACTTAAAGAGGTACATTGTGACTCATGTTACTCCCTTAAAGGACTTGGCTATTTGCACTATGCTTGTGTCAATAGCAGGCCAAGTTATTAGCACTGGGCCTTCGTCCCTGTATTATAAAGAGCTCTTTCACAGTGAACTCGTCCCCTTTGGCTCTGTTTGTGCAACCTCGGGGGTGAGGGGGGGGCGCTCTGGTGTGAGATGCTCCCTTAAGATACTGAGAAATTGCAATGCCTTGCAAAGACTTCACCAATATCTGGGTTTATTGTTAGTGTCACTTGATAAAAGTTTGGGAAAATGGAAAGCCAGCAGGGAAGGAGAAGATTATTTTTTTTACCAAAAAAAAATAATAAAAATGTTGGGGAGTGTTTTCAGAAGTTTCTCGTTGGACCCATTTAATCCTTGGTGGATGGATGTCAGCAAAGTGAAATTTCTTTTTTGTTTAAGACAGCTCTTAATTTCAGAGATGCGTGGTGGGAAGAAATATCCCCAGTAGCTCTCCGTGGAGCCGGTGGCTTGAGAATTATATAAATGAGAGCTGACAGCTTATTTCAAATATTTAATAAATGCAGTGTAACCAAATGCAGGGTGTGCTTGTGTGTGTGTGTGTGTGAGTGTGCTACGCACGTGCCTTTTTCACCAGGCGATATTGTAGCAGCTTTTGAACAAAGCCTTATGTGTGTATATTCTCCTTGGCAAATGCAACATGGAAAAGTATCAAGCGAGCTGCTGTGTTGATGATTTCAAAAGAAAGGAGAGACATTGTTACGAAGGAGAGGTTGCAGAGTTTTTTTTTCCTTTTTAAAAAGGGGTTTTAATAAGCCCTAAACAACCTTACACTGCCGTTCGGTGGTCAGCAAATGTACAGTGCTGCAAATTTAGTGGAGCATGAATTCTCTCTGCATTAATTCAAGAACCGTTTCTATGATACGTTACTTTCTCTTTTTTTAATTTATGGTTTGCGTTTTGTCCGGAGGCCTCTTATAGGTAATGAATGAAACAACACTGCAGGGTTGTTGTTGTTATTGTTGTTGTTTTTTATTTGCAACTTTAATATGTGTACTGTTTTTAAATCAAATGCTTGTGGAGAAGAAGCAGTTGTAATCACATTTGAAATAAAATACTGTACAGCCTTTATTTCTTGAAGGAAGTTAAGAGGGCAGCTGATGGATCTTGTTTCCTAGAATATCCACCTCCCATCTGATCGACTACAAACTAAACTCATATACTCTTCTTCTTCTTTTTTTTTTTTTTTTGCCTGTGCTTAATGGAGAATATAACTTGGCCTGGGTTTCTACAAAAAAGGACGAAGTGGACTGTGGAAATGGACAGGATGAACTTGTTTCCAGATATTGGATTATCCTTACAGCTAGAACAAGTCCTGTCATCTCTGTGACTCCTGTAGAATAAAATGCCTGAAAACTGTGATGATAGATTTTAAACTTTATTTTTGCAGTTTTAAACCACTGTTAGCAAAAGATTGTTTTAGATATACCTTGCTTTTTTTCAATTATACTTTCATTCAAGCTGCTTCTGATGGTTGGCCATCTAAAATTGCATCTATCTATCTATCTATCTATCTATCATCTATCTATCTATCTATCTATCTATCTATCTATCTATCTATCTATTCATCCATCCATCCATCCATCCATCATCTAGCTATCTATATTCATCCATCCATCCATCCATCTATCTATCACCTATCTATCTATCTATCTATCTATCTATCTATCTATCTATTCATCCATCCATCCATCCATCCATCCAGCTATCTATTCATCTATCCATCTATCTATCTATCTATCTATCTATCTATCATCTATCTATCTATCTATCTATTCATCCATCTATCTATCTATCTATCTATCTATCTATCATCTATCTATCTATCTATCTATCTATCTATCTATCTATTCATCCATCCATCCATCCATCCATCCATCCATCATCCATCTATCTATCTATCTATCTATCTATCCATCCATCTATTTATCCATCCATCCATCCATCCATCCATCCATCCATCCATCCATCCATCCATCTATCTAGCTATCTATGTATCATCATCATCTGTCTATCTAATCTTTACATGCCGACTGTAAACTCAAACTCAGCAATACTTAGCAATAATAGGTAGGCAGTGTGAATTTGTGAGTGTTTTCTTGAATCAGTGCCTAATGCTATATGAGTGTATGTTACGTGGTGTATACATTGGCCAGCATGGATTGGTACACCCGATGTTCTCTTATAACACGATGATCTGTAATGCATAACATATAATTGGTGTAACATGACTAATTATTGCTCATAGAACACAGCATTTAGTCAATTCAGAATCTCATGAATTCAGTGGGTTTTGTATGTGGAGTGAATGGCCAGAGGTTCTATAATTGCCTCTTTTATCCAGTTGCACCCAAGCCATGATTTTGAGCAAAATGTATCATGGCATGATTGAGGGATAATGCTAAATCCAAGGTTTGCAAAAACATTGCGGCTGGATTTCATATTAAGGCAACCCAAGTCACAAAGGTGCTGTAGAAGCCATCCCCATTCTGACTTGAGTGCGATGTGTAAAACAGGACAAAATGACACCCATCTTTTTTTATACAAAATAATAACTTCCATTGCAAAACAGTCAGGAGCCAGGATAGAGTTCAAAAGTACTTAACAAGTTTATTTCATGTGACCTATGCCTCTGATCTACTAATGGTTAAGATGAATTGGCACTAGAT